AACTGTAACACAGTAAAACAACAGGATTTGAAGACAAATTGACTGACAAAACAGAAATATTCAGTACCCTGGATACTGAATATGGTCACAATGAGGAAACATTGAGATAGGTTTACATTACATCTCTCTCTCTTGACAAGTTTTACAGCCACTACTGAGTCTCCAGCAGAGCCTGAACATAACGCATAAGTAATGTAACGTTTTAATCTAACACCATCCGTCAAGTGCCACTGCCCAATAAATAATGAATGCCCACTCACAAGTCGTTATTAGTGATTAATATACAACCCAGTTTTAGAGCGTTTTTCATTTGAGTGTCGAAAAGTAATTGGTTTTGCATCAACTATGCTACACGATTGGCTTAGAAAACTCGCACCACTTTTTCATCCAATATGAAGTAAAACCAAAACCAATAGTGACTCAATCGCACGCGTTTTCCTGCACCTCGCGGCAGCTACGTGTAATTACTTCGAGCTTTAATTGGTTCACTGGATTTTGTGTGTCCTCTGTGATTGGCTGGAGTGATTACTTAGATCTTGGTTTTACGACACTTAATTGAAAACTGCTATATAAAAAAGTGCCGAGCTGAGTGAGCTGAGTTCAAAACTTCGATTAAAAGCCAGATAAGGCACACATGGTCCCAGCCACCTACAAACACCTCCTTTTAACCCCTCATAAGTGCAAACCTCTCCGTATCCAGAACTTTTTTCTGGTCCCATGAGCATCCACAGAAGGACAGGGTCCATGATATGGTGTCTTATTCAAATTACAGCTTCTCCAAATTCCAATATTAGAAATCAGGTTACAAAGTTAGTTTAATTATTTAGTTTTGAATACTTGTAGTTATTTTGAAGACTTAACTTTAAGACTACAAAAACAAACTCTGGTTTGTAGTTTGAGTGAACAAAAATACTTCCATGCTTCCAATAAGCACTACATGTACACATGTACATGTAGATCTCAAAACCAACGTAGTTTCCTGGCTGCTAATTCAAACATTTTGATCTGTAATTTCCTTTTCAGTAAGTCATTATCTGTATTAATACAGATATCAATCAGCTTACCTTGATTTTCCTCAGACGAATTTTCAAACATTTCACC